CCCCCCCTCCTTCCACAGTCGTCCCAAGAGCCAACGGAGTCCTCCAAAATATCCGCATGTATTTCGCAGACTCGACACTCTGCTAAGTGGCATCGGTCCAAGGTGGTCCAAGGATAATCAGCAGTGCGTAACAAGAGATAGTCTAATCAGATCCCAATGCCCCCCCCGCCCCTCCTCCTCCTCCTCCTTCCTCTCGCACAACTTGACAAGGAAATCTCGAACACTGGGTTATGGGTCAGTGGCAAAAGTAAAAGTGCGAGTAAACCATTTTGAGGCGACCTCATTGAACACCTTAGGCTGTACCTACATACACATACGTCACGATAAAGATCAACATTTAAATTCTCGAACGTTCTTCGCTGCACATTTGACATATTTACTTCCGCTCGGCACACGCCATGCATTGCTTTTTAATCTTCGCTCCAGGGAGGTTAAGGAAATTAAATAACCTCCATCTACGAAACCGAATTGGAAAGGCCATTGCGACGAATGGAATAGCTCGAAAGTGGCCTTACCTTGCTCGCCTCTTAAAATTGGTTTAAATGAATTTGTCGACTAGGTGATCAAATAATAATTACGCAATAAATTTTTTAGTTTATCAAAAACTCACGTAGATAGAAAATTCGACGCGAGTGCTGAACGTAATATTGACGTGAAGTCTATAAGGACGCACATGGGTAATTGAGGGTTAAAAGAAAATTCCGAAAGGCGACAAAAAGCAATTCTGATTGGACAGATCGGCGCTAGCTGCCAGTTGAGAACCTGTTCCAGACGAGCCTCTCGTTGCACAACCGGTCGAACCAATCGGGCAGCGAGTCGACGTCACCGCCTACCAATTCAGCCAATAAAGACTCGATCGTTCGCCAGTACGGCCAGTACGATAAGCACATCCTCTCTCTCTCTCTCTCTCTCTCTCTCTCTCTCTCTCTCTCTCTCGCAGGAGGAATTTTCAACGCTTCAAATCCCGCAAATGAAAAAACCACACCTTTGAGGAGTACGCACTGTACCCCCCGTGCTCTTCGATGGTCAACTTGTCACCCAGTGCCAAATGCATGCCATCCTTATTTCTTTTCCTGTCGTCTTCATCTTATCTAAAAGCGTAAACGCTGTGGTCGTGGGGATCTGGACGCGGATCAGGACGAGGACGACGAGAGGCAGTAACGAACGATCGTTCTATACAAGAATGAGTCGCTGACGCTCATTGAGAGCAGCAATCCTGTCGGTTGACTTGAAGTTAAACTGATTCTGATTCTGAGACTGGAAGAAAAAGGTAAATGGCTTGCTTTTGACGGCACGTCATCCAATTATAGCCGGGGCTGTCGGCCATGTAACTTCGATATTCCGTCTTGCTTGGCTCCGTTTCAATTGTGATAATTTCGCACAGCCACAGCTGGATCTGCCCAAAAGAATCTAGTTCTTCTACTGTAGAAAGCGTTGTTATTAGTTTTCACTATTTCGAGTCGCTTCGGATTAATGGAACGTCGAGTGGCGATGGAATTCGAGGAGGCCGAGGACAGACGGGGGAACGAAAAGAACCGACAGCTCAGCAAATTGTCAAGGCTAATTTCGGCTCTGAGTTTCCTTATCGAGCAACTAGTGCACCATGCTTAAAAATCGACATATCGACGAGAATTCTATTCGCTTGTTACATTTTTTTCAAATCTAGGCTGTTGAAAAATATTCGAAATTGCTCTCCGTTATGGTAGGCTTTGTTAATTTTTTATCCCCCCCGCCCCCGTCACTTCCAATATCCTCAATCACTGTGAAACTAATAAAAACTATTTAAAAAAATATTATTCTAATGGTAAGAGTTGTAGTATTAATAACAGTTATTCTGTTGTCGTCGTCGTCGTCGAGCTTTCTTACGTAAATAGCGTTCATGTTACATAAGCCAATGAAAAAGGTAAAACTTTACATCGCGGACGAGTCTCGATCAATCGTTGCTTTTAAAATATTGTGAATCGTCCTGCCCCCCCACCCCCCATCCAAGACCTCTCGTCACGCTCAGCGTTATGGACGATGGATAAACTAATCAAGAGACTGACAAAGTGACGCACGTGTCGAGTGTTTCTGCAAGAATGGGAATCTCTGCATGATTTCTCACGAGACGAATAAAGTTAATAAAATATCAATATATATGGGTCGTGCATGAAGTATGAGCATGACGCGATATTTTTTGCGAGAGAGAGAGAGAGAAATTATTTCTCAGTGGCAATCAGGAACTGTGTACCAACCTTTTTTTCCTTCTCCTTTCTTTGCGCTTTTACTATATTCTCCAGTAATTATCCGGAGTCGAATTAATTCACTATATAATTATTTCGTAATTCACTATTTCACTATTTCACTCTATTCACTGTATTCACTGTATTCACCGTTTGAAAACTAGAACTCTCACATAGGTGCACGATCATACCTTTACTAATGTGGCGTGTCATCTATGAAATTACGAAGCAGATATCACGAACTATCTATTGCGTTCGGACGGCAGTCGAGCAGAAGACAGGCGCTGGCGTACGTTCGCCATTCTACATACGTGACCAGTGCCAAGTACGATGCTGCTGGGCTCTGATGATAATGCTTGCGCCTCTGTCTTCTTGGTCTCCGCGATCGTCCGATGGGTGGCTCGCACCGCTCGCACCGCTCGCACCGATCGCACCGCTCGCACCAATTCTCCCCGCGGCGCTAATGTCCTCAGGTTGGCAGTGTTCGTGGTGCTGGCGTGTTGGTAGTGCCCGATGCCGATTGGGATGACGACCACGACGGTGGCGTCGGTGACCGCCGAGAAAGACGACTGGTGGGGAGAAAAAAGTCGAGAAATAGTTTGAAGAAAGACACCGCTTGTTTCGGTCGCGGTTTCTGGTGCTCCCGTGTGGCCTACCGCTCGCTTACCGAGTGTATCACGAACCGTCTTTTTTTGCAAAATTTTTAGCGTCTTTCGCTTCCCAACGACGCTTGTGCTTTACTTAGTGGATCGGAATCCAATGATCTGGCATCAACTGGTTTCCACGCCAAGTGTGCACAAGGTTCAAAGATTTCTCAAACGTCAACTGCAATACTTGATAGAATGCCGTAATAGTATTAGTTTACCTCCACAGGCATATAGACGCCCTTTCCTCTGTTATCACAAATTTTTCTGGAAAATAGATGACGGACACCGAACGATGAACTTCTCAATACGTAAACTCATTGTCAGTAAAACTTGGCTCAAATTATTTTTCGTTCCATCATCTAGTACTTGACCGTCTGTTATCTGCAAGGATCCAATGCGCAATATGCCCAAATGATTAGATAGCTCGGTATACCTATCCAAGATCAGTAGAGCAGCGCATTCAAAAAACAGCTGCTCATTTTATCGAGCCGTAGACTCGATAGCCTCTTTGTGTCATTCGGAATCGGTTCATTCTTCACTAGAAATCACTCGAACATGTAGGAGGACAGAAGAATGTGCAGAAATACGTGTCCACGCATTCTTCGACTAAAAATACGTTATAAAAATGTTACTTTAGAGATAGAGCATCGTTCAGAAGTAACAGCGTGACCATAATGGCTTTCATCGAATAACTGCAATATAGAATATATGCTTATTATATTAAAAGTTTAATTGAACAGCCAAAAGTTACGGAGATTACGACGTCAATATTTCTTTTTATTTTATATATCGCACGTTAATTTCGAATCGATGATTATGGACATTGGATATTCGGTATGAATGATCGCCATCTGGAAAAGGAACCATCATTGTTTTGGTTTAGGAAATGCACATGCAGAGATGGGAGAATAGACATAGTGAAAGTAGCTGGCGAAAACTGAAGAGAACTGTGACGTCAACTCACCGAGTTCCAAGGAGACGAAAACGTTTGAGTTTCTCTGCGATTGCCCCACGGAGACGATATTTTTGCTGATTGGTGATCCTTGGAACTGCGGCAGTGACGGCGCTGTCAGCGGTGGCGGAAGTGGCGGAGATGACGGATGTGGCGGATGCGGCGAATGTGGCTGCGGTGGTAATATTAAAAGTGTTGAGGGCGGCGATGCCTGTAGCAGGACTAGTGTTCGCGTTGATGGCGACGGTGGAGTTGGCGCTACGCTGCCCGGTGCAAGGCAGGCAACGTCGAGCCCCTTGCCAAATAATCAGCATCACTCTGGCGTCAAAGTAATTTGACAAATCAATTCTAGTGTTTTCAAATGTTAGCCACACCTGTTTCTGCTTGTGGAACGTTAGCAACCACCCACACATTGAGACACTATTACAATTTCAAAGTGAATTTTTCCTCTATCAATATCCAGTTGCGGTTCGATAATGGAATGCGCCTTTTAAATCGTCTTCATCTTAGGCCTAATAACAAACTCTTGATATCTACATTAGACACCCCGAGCCCTCAGAGAAAATGTAGGATTTGAGGGATTTTTTATAGAACTTTTTTTTTTAAATACGCTGCATTTTTATGCTCTATTTAGTTGAGTTTTTTGTCCATTTGTAAAACAGTCGCATTCAATGTTTTTTGGATTTTCTTATATATCTAACAGCTTCAAAGATATTTCCGAAGCACTGTTAGAAAACTGACAATGAGAAATATCTCGTTTAGCGACAATACGCTTTGCAAATGTTTAGACTATTTCGTAGTTCGCGGATGTAGAAAAGGGAATTTTTTATTTAGTACAGAAGACGTAATAACAAACATAGAACAATAATACGAATATTCTAGAGTTAAAAGGTCAAGGATAGGTTAGAGGCGCATCATACTCATGAGATGCTCTTTCTTTCTCTTGCAGCGAGTACAGAAACTCTTAAGTTTTACATGCAGGGAAAAATGATTGCTAGAACAATAGTGGTTGGATAACGAAAAATTCTAGTAACAACGGTAACAATTCGAAAGGGTAGTGGTTGTCATTAGAAATTCATTTTTCTACAAATAATAACCATTGCGCCGGTAATTGCAATTATACGTATCCATATAGTACTTCATTGCTTGCCGTGATAAGTTGATAATAAAAAAATTGGGGAAGAAGGCGCATTTTTACCAACGATATTATGAGAACAAATATAAGAAAAAAAAGAAAATTTTCAAGATTCTTAGGTATATAGGTTTCTTACGTCTCGAAAGAAATCTTCTGAAGACATTATTTCAGGCAAAGAACATGTAATTTGGAGGAGTCTGTTAAAACGAGACAGCTTAATACCTGTGAGTTGTACGTCTTATATAGTTACCAATACAGTTTGCGACGAGACAGATGTGAATGGATCGTCATGTCGGTGTCGCGGAGCCAAGAACGACCTAACCTAACCTAATCTCAAAATCATGGCAATGTCCAGAATGACGTACCACGAGGTTCAGTATATTCGAACTCGTTGCAATTCTTCTTTTGCGTAGGATCGTTACAAGGGATCACGACATTCTCACGAGTTCTTATTGATTCACGTTATGAGCCACCTACCTTGAACACGTTAATTGCAGCAGTTCCTTCGATGTCTCTCCCTTTCTGCTCTAACGAGAATGTGAAACTTGCACGAACGAGCCTAAATGACACTGACACCACTCGGCCTTCTTCAGCGGATCGTTTCCGATTCCTTAAAAAACCGTGATAAGGTCGGCGCAGACGAGACGAGCACAATCTTAATGACAGCTGACAATGAAAGCTACGAGATGATGACGACTTCCTCCCTAGTGGTTAACCTTAGTCCACACCGACTGCACCGTGCTGAACTATTTACTGAAATTTGACGTACTTCACTATTCGGGCGCACTGCACCGCACTAAGTAACACTACACCGCACCACGGTCTTGATTGTGCTCGAACCCATCCATCCTATGAATCCTGCGAATGACTTACGGAGTCACGACCGTCACGACTCACGTTACGCATCGACGTTATTTTCTACGCGCGCGCTCCTCACGGCTCCCAAACGGTATATTCTGTGGTACAGTCTGTTCACAAACGCACTGCTATAAATTGCTTCCCTACTTTAGTTATTCCAGAATGTTCGCGTTAAAAAATATCTCTGCGACAAAAAAAACCTGCGCTACTACATTCTCAGTAAGAATTTGTACGTACATACTATCATGTAGGATTTAAACGAAACTAACCAATCGCGCTTGTTTATTCGTTTTAAATGTTGCTCATGAATGGTTAACCCTCGTTGAAGTTCGATTACGCACGACGAAAACACAGTAACACACACGACACTCAAATGTGTATGCGTCATTGATATACGCATAGCATATAGTGTTCAAACAGAATTAATCAATTATATGCTGGTTTATTCTTTTCAGATCTTGCACGGTTTAGACAATTAGGTACACTGTTTTTCATATATTGGCGTCAAAAGTAATAAATGACATACGTTGGAGGAACATGTATTCTGAGACAGTGCTTCCGAGTCTACCAATGAAAGGGCTCTCAAAATAAATATATAGGGAAGAAAACGCTTGTAATCATTCGTGAAGGACATCCGTAAAAATCGTAAATGATTCCCGCTATGATTTTATGTACGTATGTATATAAATACGTGCGCATGGTTATGGGGAATCTTGTTGAGTAAGTTAGATTATGAATGAAAAGAAAATCGTTTCACAAATTGTACGAAAACAAGACTTGAGACTTGGGCCGATTACATTCGCGACGACGTCAGATGAGCTCATGGAATTTTGCGCAGTCATTTGATAGACTTTGGAACATTTACGCGAAGCCACCCGAATTTACAAGCGCATAAAAATACAACACGTAATATCGATAACATTGTTGCAAAATAAAATATATACCCTAAACATCTGATAATGCATCCTGTGTTCGTATTTATTTTCATTGCCTCCACCTTCTTTTCTTTTATTTTCGCTCACAATATTACTTTGCTTTTCACCAGCTTGTTTTTCATCGTTTATAAAAGATTCATCTTTTATATATTTACACAACAATATACACCTATTACATAGCTTCTTTTTTTATACACAAATGAGAGTGGGATGATTTTTTGATCCGACAAAGTTAAAGCTAGTTTCTTAGTTGAATTAAAGCGTTCTATTAATGCATCATTTTATGAAGCTTCAAGATTTTTCCCAAGCGTTGTTTTGCCGTTTTCATACCCTTTTTTGGTTTCCGCTCTGGAATAATGACACGTTTTTAATAAATCATTTACAAACAGCACAGCTGTGCTATGCACGCAGATTGAAACATTACTTACGTTTCAATAAATAGATATGACAATAATAATAACAAGGAAAGAAGAAAATTAAAAAACGAAGGAGGCAGATGGCTTACCAACTGGGACGGGTGCTGCGAGTTTTGCCTTGACGTCTTTCAGTCTGTTAGGACTCGTTAATATCGAGCCGTATCCACCAATGTCTATACCGACACCGTCCGTGGGAAGATTAGCGCCAACGTCAAGTTCAAGACCAAGGCCGAGACCCATGTTCATTATGCCGTCAGACGTTGCTTTCATCTTGATATTGCCCCCGTCTGCGGGGATCGGAGGAGCCTCTGATCTCATTACCGAACCCTTTTGTCTTCGCTTATTGTATGTCCGTTTTGTCGATGTTTGCTGCCAGATGAATGGCCACGAGAAAGAAATACGGAAAGACACATATGTACATTATTTTTCAAAGAAGGCGAAATTACAAACCAGGAATTCTCCCATCCCCTTCGACTAAGATCACTAAGTTTAACACTTCATGAGCAAAAGAAAAGTCAATAGAAAAGGTACGGGGATGCAGAGTTCTCATGGGCGTGTGCTCTCGTGCATAAATACCGGCTGTTTTGCTCGTTTCGCCGCTGCAGCCTCAAGACCCTTCTCCACGGACGTCTTTTTCACTCCTTCTCGCGCCGGTCGATTAGTCTTAGGCAAGAGAGGACCGACCCTGGCTCGGGGATTCCAGGCCTCGTCGATTCGTCTCTTTCCGCGAGGTTTGAAAATATATTCTTCGTCGTCCGACGCATCCAATGCTGGATATACTATGCAGCACGTGCAACAATAAATAACTCCGTTGTCAAATGATGCCTATCGCAAGTAAAGACCTTCTTACTGAAATCATCATCCTGATGAACCTTATCGATGTTCTCAATAAGGTGGTCGTCGTCGTCGTCGTCGTTGTTGTCCTGGAGCTTCTTGTCCTCCTTTTCGAATTTTTTTAACTTGACGGGACTGGCTGACGTCGTCGAATAGCACTGCTCGCTGAACGACAGCATCCCAGCGATGGCTTCCCGAGTCGATGGAGAAGCCCTGCCAGAACTGGCCGTTTTCAATTTATAAATACTAAGACACCAAAAAATCAAAAATGACAACAAAACGCATTTGTCTCCTTGTACTTTCTGCTTTTCCACTTATTATTCGTTATTTTTCACGGGACAGTTGGTACGAGTGGTGTTACTTGACATCCAGGCAGATATGATAGCGTCGAACGGAAGAAGTAACAGTGAGAATGAATGAAACAAGGTCAGACTAATGCAAGTTGAGTGAGACGACCAGGAACGAAAGAAAGCACACAATGATCGATGTCTCGAATACTTGGATATAAATTTCCTAAATGGCTTACCCCGTTGGCGGTGGGACTGGTTGACCAAATTGTGACATCGTTGACAATATCGCAGACGAGCGACTGAAACAGTAGTTAATCGGCTGACAATCAAATTAATAATAGCTACCGTGAGTACAATATTCAATTGAAACGAATACGTACGTAGTGGCATCGAGTCTTTGATTGGCAACAGTCGCCGAAGATAACGTGTACGCGGAAGCTTTAAGTAATTCCTCGATACCGTTTTTTGGTATCTCGCTCTGAACATCGGCGTCGTCGGTTGAACCCGCAGCAGGTTGGTAATTGCGTCTACACCTTTTCTGGCTGCTGGACCTTGAGGATTTTTTGCGCTTCGGCGCTTCGTCTATGGTAAAAACCCCATAATCACTCTCGTTACTGCCGTCGTGAAAGTCATACACGGAGCTTTGTTTCCACGTTAATTCTCTTAGCGTTTCGACCGAGTGATCCATTGTGAATGTTCCATAATTATTTATATTGTCGTGAGTGCTTCTTACGACTTCATTGTCGCCGAGCTTAAATCGAATGACGGTGGGACTTTGCTTACCCGGTTTAGATGCTCGTTTGTTTTGTTGCGAAAAACCGACACATTTAACCTTTCTGCCATTACCGCCGCTAGTACCGCCGCCGACGCCGCCAGCACTATTACTGCTGTTACTGCTACTGCTGTTACTGTTGTTACTACTGGAGATATTATTGTTTATCGAATTGCTGGTAGCGCTGGTGACTGCCGCAGAGGCACTAGTTTCGTCTGGTGGTAAATTCGTACTGGCATAGGAATAGCCCGCATATTTGGGTAATGTTAATTTCAACGGCGGTCTTGTATCCGGCAAAAGTTCGGTTGACATGGAGGCTTCTTGCATTTTATTCGTTTCTTTCAATGTTGCTTTAAATGGATTTGCGGCCATGCGATCGGCTACGTCGTAATCAATGAAATCCTTATTTAACGGTTTTTTCTTCTTTCGCTTACTTTCGCGTTCTGGTTTCGGAGGATTCAGTGATATCAGGTACCGTTCCGCGTGACGAATTTCTTTACTCAGATCCTTCAGCAACTTTGGACTGTTAATTGTCTCTGGAATTTGGCTACGACTAACCATATTGTACTGAAAAATAAAAAATAAAATAATAATATACACGTGTATTATAATAAGCCCTCGTCTTTCACGATTTGTCGGATCCCCATCTCTTTCATAAATGCACGTAGTGTTTCCCCTTGTTTCTAAAAACTTTTCGACAACTAGTGACACTCACGTCTTTATCAGTATTCCACTGCTTAAGGATTCCCAGTAGAGCTTTAACTCCTTGTAGAAAATATGCTGGACACTTTTTCTCATCATTATTCAACTCCTTAAGGTCTTTGAGTAGTTTCTTTCCTGCGAACCAATTTATGGTCTCAAACCCTGGGTATTGAAATTTTGTAGGAGTCTTCATTTTTCTCTCCAGCTCGTAAACTCTGCAAATAAACGGGCATGTACCTATCTACTGACTCTACAAAGTTTCTTTGTTGCTGTGTAAAACCACAAATGAGGACTTACTGTATTTGCATAGGAATGTTGAGACTGTGAACAAAATTACCGCCAAAGACCAAGGAGTCCGTTGGCGTTAAAACTGCGTGAATCCATCCGGTTGGTATCATCATTGTTTGCCCCTGCTTAATAACACATCTGTAACATGCGTCAGCCTGATCTCCGAAAAAAGTTTCGCTCTGAGTCGAACTACACATCCAATGTTGGTACAATTGTAAATTCGCTGTCGATGGCTTAACTAGGTAAAAAACTTTCTCTCCCCGCAAAACGTGATACCAGACGGATGTGCCACCAAAGTCAATGTGAAAATCAGTGAAACTATCTTTGACTCCCATCAGGCAGTATTTTTGCACCTCTGGCCGTTTCAATTCACTGTCTTCGGGCCAATCGCGCGGCCAAACAGAATTTGCCCAGTCAAGCTTGCGTGCAATGTACGGCGCTTCGACCATCGAGGAGAGACTGCAACGATTATTCAGTATTTCAGATATCCTGCTTATGCGTAATGAATCACACAAAACAATTAATTGAACATACCTGGTGTTTGAAAATTCAAGGCTTATCACATTGAAAACCCTCGTTCGACAAGGATCATTGTAGTATTCGACGAAATCTCTCAGTTTCATTCGTACATTACTTTGCCTTGTTACGTCAATAACATCCATTTCCCGATCTCCGCCTAAAATATCCACATGAAAATTATCACAATAAATTCCTCGAGACTAAGATGCCTTAAACACTACTTGATTCAGTCCTCATCTCACCAATGTAACTCTCTACATCGTAAACACTAAAATTTGGCGGTGGCACAGTCATGTCAAGTCCATCTTTGCCATCGATAACAATCGGAGCTTCAAATCCATTGCTCTGTAGATATTGTAACGTCAGTTGTTGGCCTCTCACATGTCTAACCACTTCATCTGCTTTAGGAAAGTGACGTGATTTTAGTTCTTTTATAAATAGAGGAGTACCAGTTTGTACAGGCTTGGAGTCTGCGTTTCCCTCCAAGTAATCATGTCGATGCCAGTTCATTCGTATTTTCACTAGGAGAATAATACAAATAATGTAGAGGTTACACACATGTATCAGATATAGTCAAATAATTATTGTAGTTGAATAGAAAACAACTCACAGAGGGAAGGTCCACATGTTGTCTCACAACGTGGACAGTGATACTTGTCCAAATCCATTGACATGTAATCTTTGACAGCCACACACCTTTGAAAAACAGAATAGAAATGAATGATGGCGTTAACATAACTCCTTGGTTACCCGAAGACGCACATAGGCCGCTACAATCGACTTTCTCGAAAAAGGTTATGTTATGTTATGCTATTATTCTCTATGTATTACCACAATTGTCATAAAACTCTGTCCAATTATTCGTAACGCGTTACTCGAGAAAAACGTGGCTGGAGTGCAAGTCAGCGAGAGAGCCAAACTACGAGAACGTATTATTGCCAAAGTAATCGAGAAGCCTTGTCGCTGATGAAGCGTTGGTTGACGCTGACAGTGGCAAGAAGCGGCAAGCAACACCAAACTGTAGCAAGCACAAACAAACTTTTCTCTGTTTCTAGATTCTTTGCTTTCTCATCACAATCCTTACAATGCTTTCTTTTTTCCGTTGGCTTCGTCATGAAATATATTCGATCAAATAACGTTAATATCTATTTGCAATTGACTCTTTCGGACATCACACTCCAGCGTCGTCTTTTCTTTCGTCCTGGTTCTGCTTTGTATCATCGCTACACTTACCCACCATGATACCACTCTTTGCAAATATCACACTGAATCATAAATTGGTCGGAGTCGAAAGAATTCCCGCACAAACAATACGTTGCTGGTAACTCCATTTTCTAGCAGTGGCGACGAGGGCTCGCATTGGCGTATGCACGAAGGCGTGGAGCGTCTCTGAGCGTCAGGGAGCGTCCTGGGTTCGACACTCGACGTTTTACTGAGTTTAATTGCTTTCAACTCGTAAATACATTCAACGAGTCGAATTAAAGACAACCGTATGTCTAATTCGGCTTAACTGGTTAACACGCCTTGGCCACTTTTGTAACTGTCCAAGAAAGTTCACGAGAATCCAAGAAAACTGGCCGCTGCTTGCCGACGACCGTCGCTTTCGGTCTCGCTCTCTCTCCCTTTCTTTCCTTCTCTCTTTCTTCGCCGCCATCCATTCCCCTGCCCTTACTCGCGCTAAATTCCCATTGTTTTTTGATTCTCAGTTTGCCTTACTCACTTTCAATTAAATTACGTCGATGTTACTATCAGTCATTACAATACTTTGCTTCGATCTATAATCGACTGTCCAATACCTGCGAACTTTATAAAACGTAGCTGTCATATAAACGACGTTCGTCAGACACCACGACGACACACTGCAATGCCGACGCTGCTGCCGACGCTGAGCGCTCTTGATGCTGATGGCCTAGTTTACACTGGCTTTACACCGAGCGATTGATACGCGTAGTAAAGCATTCGTATCGAGTAGCTCTTTTCAACTATTTCATGTGATTTCATGCGAATGTAGGTGCTTTAATACGCGCGTATCAAGGCGTACGGTGCAATCTACGCCACTTTTACATCATACAATAATTAAAGAGGGTCAACCAACCTCCATTAGTTTATTCCATTCAACTTTTGCTTGTGATTGGTTCTTCCTCTTAAACTCTGCGCGCTGGCGATTTTGCCATAAATTCTGACTCTTTAAAATATTCGTTTCCCAATATTGGCTTAACTTATACCCAGCAACTAAATTGGAATGAGATCGCAGTGTATACTTCTGCTTTTTAATCCTCGTTGTCTTTTATGTGATTTATGCCCTCGTTAGGTATTCAAATGCCAGGACGCCGCATAAACGCAGTCTAACTATTATATATGTATGTATATGCGTACGTTTCAAAATTCGCTGAATTCACTGGCGGTATTACGAGTATTGTTGAGTCTCAGTTGCGTGCAGGTAAATAGGGATACGATATCATCTTGTTCTTTCCAGATCTTCGGCTACATCCCCCTTCGAGGGGCAATCGACGATACTCATAGTACTGACAGTGGATTTTGAAACGTATTCCCTTTTTTAAATTTAAAAATATTTATGGTGTGCATTATAAGTACATATGTATATCCGTCGAGTATGTTCGATTGAATTTTGGTAACCTTCGGTGAGCTTTGTGAATTTCGGTCAGTTTCTGAAAATTACGGATGTTTTCGTTATACCACTGTCTGTTGATTGGTGCTTCTTTCGCTCGTTAGAATTATCCTATGGAACCATCAGAACTAATTGGAACCAATTGGAACCATCCAATAATATATGCAAATAAGATATCGTATATTATTGTTTGAACGGTTGGACCGTTCTGTATTCTTCTGCCTTACACGTGTTTTGTAGCGGTGTTTCGAAGTATGAAGTGCCAAATTAACAATTCGGGGTACAGGAGGGAACAAACCGTCAAGCTTATGTCAAAAAATCGTTGTAAGAAAAATAAGAAACGTCCTAAGTAAGTCATTTCCTTGTTTGATTTTTAAGTTAGGTTAGATTAAGGTTACCCTTTCTTTAAATGTACGCGACAGTAGCAAAACACGTAATTGTATCTGCTTTGCTGCGTGTATGCATGTGTATAGTTTTTGATAACTCTCGTACTACTGTGAGAAATGTATGAATGTCTTTATGCAAAAAGTATTTGACTTTTCTTTCTCAGAAAACTACTGTGCACCAAAAGAGGAGAATATAATGAATTCGATGAGTTGCCTGGCGAAACGAATGTTGAAACACAATTTTTAATTCAGCCAGAACAGAATGATCATTACAAATTTCGTAATTCAAAACGTAATGACATGCGTTCGGAAAGATCTTGGAAGACTAGAAACGCTCGAATAGAACGTCAAACTAATAGGGCTGTGAGTAGTTCAAAGCTTCGAACAACCAGTTATGCGCCATCAAGAAGAATAACTAATCTTGGAATTCCAATAATTGTTGAAGCACAGTCAACACATTGTGTGTCATTATCAGAACAGAATATATCATTAACAACAGAGGATTCAAGGACCAAAAAAGGGGATGATAATATTTCATGCAACTTAGTGAAGTCTAATAAAAATTTATCGGTATCCATAGAGGAACAAGGTAATGTAATATGGACTAATAATTGCAGAAATGAGTTACAAACTCATTGTAATATTTGGCAAGATAATCAAAACGACACGAGTTACAATAATTACAATGAGGTTAATCATAAAGGGAATAAGAAGCTGGAAAAAGTCATTGCTCAGTTAAAAGAAGGGCCTTCGTTAGAGCATAGTATTTTGAGTAAAAAGGTTCGCTTTTATATTGCTAAAGAAAAAGTACTTGTCGCTATAGAACGTGGATGTATGCTTAAGTTTATTGGAAAACTCAAGATTCAGACTATTCATGGAGCAATAGATATATGTGGCTTAACTCTTTGCAAAACATCAATACCAATTGAGGTGTATTCACCAAGGGGACATAATTTTGTTGGTATAGAAGTTGTTTACCAACAGTCAGAAAGCACTGTGGCTAGTATTTGCAAATTACTTAAGACAGAAGGCATCGATCATACTGTCATAAGCTCATTAGAAAGGGATATCAATGAAAATCAATGGGAAGGATCGTTAGTTTTGATGGAAAACTTGGAAAATAAACTTACAAGGTTCTTAAGTTCATCGTGTCCATTCAAACTATTTCCAACTGTAGAAGATCCTCAAAAAAATTATTCGTTGAGTAATCAAAAAAAAGCAGAGGTAGTACTGCAGGCTTCTTTCCACTTGCATGAAGAAAATGGATTAAGATGGGAGAACGACATAGCCATTAAATTGACAAATCGCTTACAATCTGGATACAGAACTTGCGGCTTGGTAGTTGGTGGGAAAGGCGTCGGAAAGTCAACAACGGTACGCTATCTAGTGAACAAGTTGCTTCCGGAAAGAAGGGCGGTTGTTTTATTGGATTTGGATCCTGGCCAGGCTGAATGTACACCTGCAGGATGCATCTCTTTGAACGTGCTAGAGGAGGCTTTGATTGGGCCGAATTTCAGTCATTTGCGTACACCATTCTATCAGCTGTATGTCGGTGAGGTGAACGTTGTTCGTTGTGTTTCGCGTTATCTCGAAGCTGTGGAAAAGCTCCTTTATCAATTGAACAAGTGTCCGGAGCTTTCTCGTCTTCCAATTCTCGTGAACACAATGGGATTTTGTAAGGGATTGGGCTGGGACATAATTGTTCGCATCATCAGATTAGTTCGACCGAGTGACGTCGTGCAAATCATTTCAACAAGATCGAAAAGGAATTTCGACTCTCTACTGTACGCCGATGTTATCGGGCGCAAGGTACAGACACGGTTGATAATATTTCTTTATTTCATGCAGATTGAATTACAAGCGTCAGCGAACGTGCAGATTGTACCTGTCTTTCAGAATCATTCGTGGATCGATGGAAAACTTGAAGATGAAGAGCCTCACCAGGAGCCCCTTCGATACGAACTGCATATGGTGGAGTCTCGAGCAGAGTTGCGAGAAGGAAGCGTCATTGGGGAGTCGTGGGAAATGGAACCGCATCAACAGCGAGATGTCGCGATGCTGGCATATTTGGCGCAAATTTTGCAGACGCCACAGGAAAAGTCTCTCAAGTAATCTTTCAATTTCATTCCCTCTTAGTGAATGCATTCAGACTTGCAATTGGACTTTCTTGCAGATTTTATGAGAAGCATTCATTGAAAAGCATTTCGATCAACGGCACGCCACCATACACGTCAGTATCTTATAGTATTGGCTGCATTACAAATACTGATAAAATATTTACTTGTGCAACGGATTGAGAAGCTAACGAATTAATGATTGTTATTTGTTATAGGGTACCCTTTTCCTCAGTGAGCATTTCGTTGACGCGGCTTGTCGTGCCACCGTCGCATATTTTAGCCGCAATGAATGGTAATATCGTCGCTTTGTGCGGCGTTGACGTAGACAAGGAACTTCCAGGCCGGAGTGATTCGGGTTACCCCAATGCGTTAATAAGAGCGCCTCTAGCAACCTGTTATGGATTTGGTTAGTGAGACTATTTCATTTTTAAGATTGTGAAGTCTTGTTTTTATTGTTATTCAAATTTTTTTGTTTATTCTCACTTCGATAACCGTTCATCGATTTTGGACTATCATTGTTTATTTTACTCATTAACGGCAGGTATAGTACGTGGAATTGACATGGGCCGAGAAGAGATTTACCTGAACTCTCCTCTTTCTGCACATCTCCTGCAATTTGTCAATTGCCTTGTGGGCTCTAGCACAATTCCCATGGCGATGATTCCATTCGAGCACTGTATCAGGACACCGTACATCGCGGGAGGACGAGACGAGTTGCCAACGAGTCGTGAGCCACGCAGAGGATTATTTCGTATAAGTCAGAAGAGTAGATCCTCCTTAAGATTTGCCGAAAACACGAAGAAAGATAGGTGATAGGTGAGATGTAGAGAGAATCGTGTGTGATGTGAAAAATGTTTAGGATTGAGGAGAACTTCTGGATCACGAGTAAAGAATCCGGATTCGCAAGGAAAAAAACAAGACTTTTATTTTCTCTGCGTGTGCCCTTTTGTACGTGATTGTGCATGAATTATGGTTCGATTTCCGTGATTTCGAAGAAGTAGCGTAGGGGACGTAAAATGGCGGTAAGGGTTTGTACGCTCCAAGATTTGCCAATTAATTTCTGCCGTTTTGTTACCGATAAATTCTTCACGTCTGTGAAATGTCGTGGAAAACCAAATATCTCCTCGAGCTCAGTTATCCATATTGAATCCTCCCTGTTGTTCATGAGCACCGGCTTGCAAAGCGCTTTACCTGCGCAATCGAGATGCAAATGGCAAATGGCAAATGGCAAAATGTGAAATATCATAGATAATGTTTGAATCATGAGGAGGATATACCTTGCTTCAGAGAATTCACTCTCGTCGTGACGGTTTGAATTTTTTTAACGAGGGCCTGTCGATTGCAGTTTGGCGTCAGTACGTCCTGGAGGTCTTGCGTATCGAGTGAGTGCTGCGAGACGATCGGCAGATTACTCCAGTAGAGCCTCGGTCTGTGCTGAGCGGAGAAGTCTGCCGAATCTACGAAATCGGGCTCTCGGCCGAGATGCCTATAGAGAACGAATGCATTGCGATTTAAGAATCGAGTCTAAAAAAGAGACAGGAGAGAGTTGCTGACTTACGCGTTAATTTCCAGTCTGTATTTGCTCGGCATTGACGCGACATTTTCAAAGAGCCAGAAGCATTGACGATCTCCGTTCGTCTCGTTTAGTAGTTTCAAAACGCGGCAGTATTCAAAGAAGAGTATACCAGTCCCTTTGGGATCTGCAAGAGCCAATCGTAAGTAGGTCAGTTTTTCTTCCTCTTCCACGCACGACAGTAATACAATATACACGGTTACGCATGTAGAGTATAGATGTATTTCCTTTACTGTGACAGTTTACCGTGCAGTCCTAATCGATAAGGATTGGCGAGACTCAGGTCGTTACAAGGCGATCCCCCGATTAGTAAATCGATAGGTCCGATGTCATTGATTGTTTCTCTCGTAATGTTCCTAACGTCACCAAGACGAATGATTCTGTCTCCGAAATGGGCAACACTGACAGCCTCGGCATCAGGATCAATCTCACTTGCGTAATAACACTCTACCTTGATGCCCAGCTTCCTAAGTACAAGTAGTCCTGAAATGTAAAGTCGTTCAATGTATACCATATAGTGCGTATACCAGCGGGGTCAATGAGACGTGACTGGAGACTACAGGCGCATAGCAATAAGAGAGACGACGTTGGGATCGATGAAAATGATGATGTTCAGTCATATCGGAAATAGAGAAAATCGATGGCTCGTGCGACGTACCGGTACTTAAACCATCGAAGAGCGACAGGACACGCATCTTTCTGCGGGTTGTGTCGACGGAGGGAGGAAGATCCCAGTACAGAAATTCATTATTTCTATGAAATAATCGGAGGATTCTCTCCTTCCAGTCGCAGCGGAACTTTAGGAATCCATCCGAGGCGAGTCTCGCATCATCCTTACAGAAGAAGCAGAGCCAGGGGTCTTCCAGGAGAATCGCTCTGTAGGTGTACGGGCTTATCAAATATTTCAAGCACGCGGTGCAGTAAACCCTGGAGACACAAGAGCGCAATGGTATAGACAAATGATTTAACTAGCTGCTTAAAGACAGAATCGAACCTCTTACCTGGGACAGTCGTGCGCATCGCACATGACAACTGTGTCGGTACCCGCGCATAGCGTGCAAAAATACTGAAAAAGAAAATATAGAATGTTATAACTGCCGATTGAGAATTGGTCGTTCACTTCGTTCGGGCAGAACTTGAAAAGTTAATGGGGGAGCCATTCGAGAAGAAGAGGAGTTGTGCGAGGACGATGACAAAGAGACAGACTTACACACTTTCCATCATCCCCGTAGGCAAACATGGATGGCTTATAAAGCTCCTGTAAAAATCATAAGATAATATGATTCCAATTAGATCGTCAGTGTTGGCGTGTTTCTCGTTATTACAATAAGACGATGGGAATCGTACCATACATTCGTCGCATACAGATCCTTCGAAAAAGGGATGTTCCTGGCAATTGCCATCTCGAAGGATTTCTAAGCACACGAGACAGGACCGTTTAAGTAGTTCCGCAGCGTCCACTTCTTCACTGGCTAGACCTAGGAGGGATAACGATTTAGCCACAGGGAAAATCGGAACAAGCGAGAATTTCGGAACAATAAGAAAAGATTACTACTGCCAATACAGTGAACAGAATGCGTTCTAGCGATTACCTGTCCTTTCGATGGCGCTCTCGCGCAACGCGGCGACCTTTCGATCTCCCTTAAACTCTTGCAGTTTCTTGAGAATTCGCTCCGTATATTTTAGCTGATTGTCGTTCAGTCCCGTAATTCCGGGCAAATCGTCAGCAGCCTCGATCACCCTCCGACATTTCGAATGGGAATTTGTTCGAGAGAACCATCCCAGTACATCGGTCAACTTCCAGTGGTCAGTCTTGTAACCAAGTCGCGAGCAGTAGTCCTTAATAACGCGAAGAACAAATAATCCGGATTGAAGGAGCTCAGCGCACGACGTAGTCGAGTGGCCGAGTGGCCGAGTGGCAGAGTGGCAGAGTGCCTTACCTTTGACGCATCGAGAACGCCGGCTACATAGGAGACTCTCTTGGCCTGCACCGTGTACTCGCGGACTTTTTCGAAGCCCAAGTCGAATGCCATAAAATCTCGATGATTCACCTGTAACGTGTACCAGTGAAAAAATAATAATTGAACCATTGGTCAGCATCTAGAGCTTCTCCTCACCTGAGACAATTTGTAGTCGCCGTACCAGATGATCCACTGGCAGCCGAAATTAGGTTCATCCATACCAGCATCCCGATGATCTACTATCATTGCTGTAAGTGAAAGGTGTCAACGTCCTTAGTGTTTGATCATTAACGAGCGATGCGTTGTCCTTAGAGTTTTCTATTTCCGGATACCTGGCCACCATGCATGCCCGGGTATCTTTGCCCAAGCTATGACGCCGGGCTTTTGATCCGCCAGAGCAAGATGTTCCTCCGGGAGACGAACGCTCGCAGTCGTTGCCGTCGAAGAGACTTTGCCACTGGCGGAGGTGCTCTTCTGCGGTTGATTCTCCTTCGGCGAGGCTACGTATAGAGGTCAGCAGAGCAGCAAGCTTTGAGAATCAAGAGGAATCGGGAAAACTTGGCAAAAGTTTCCGAGGCGGCGGAGGCAGAATTTACCAGTTGAAATGATTTGCTTCTGTTGCTGCTCCTCCTTCATCTTCTTCTTCTCCACGTCGAGAAGATAAGCCTCGTTGGCTCTGATGTTTTCCTTGCGCAAATTTTCCAGATCTTCCTCTACATCGCAGGGATACGGATAGAAGCTCATTCCGTTTACTGCAAACGTTCGTTACGTCCGATGAAAAGTTTTAGAGAATTTTCGAGCAGTTGAAATCATCGCACGCTGCCGCTGGTCGATGGCTGCGACGTTACTGCTACTTACGTTCGCTCGCTTTCAGCGGTACCACTTCTCTTTCTGCCCAGCTGCAGTAAGGTCTTGTCAAGAGGATCTTCAGTTTTTCGGCAAGTAGCTAAGGACGGCGCAAGGAGATTAGCTGTGAATGAACGAAGAGAGGGAGAAGAATTCATATCAATCAATTGGAGAAACCTTCAGCGTGGCCACCGATGCGATCGTTCTGGCCTTTGTAGCTGCCTTGTTGCGCAGGTGATCTATCAGTCGAGACTTGAGGTTCTGCGAGAACGGTTCCACCTGAGACTTCGCCCTGAGCTGCGACAGAGACAAGAGACAAGAGTTTTGCTTATCAACGATGGAGCGTAAGTAGGACAGAGTGGGAGAGCATGGGACACGTGTTACCTGGGAAATTCGCGACTCGCCGATCCAGTAGACCCAAAGCTTCTCGGGCGTGGCAACCATACCCACGTGCTCAGCGTCGACGATCAGAGCTGCGGGTGCAGATAGACACATTCGAAGGGTCCTTGGACGGAGCTTAGTGCATGCATCGGGAAAGCTTCCAGCTGTTTCTAGAATAGTCGCGACTTACCTGGCCACCATCCCATGCAGTAGCCCCAGACCAGTCTACCGACCTCGGACGAAGCCCCCGAGACCAACCGGCACGGCTTCTCGATTCGTAGGGCATTTCTCATTTGACCTCTCGTTAATGGCCTCCCGTCGTATTTTTCATTTCCAATTGTCCTTTCACGATTATCTATTTCCATCCGAGTCGGCGCTGAGCCACTACTCCACGTCTCTGCCCGTGCCACGCTTGATGACCGTCTTGGACCACGTGCTCCTGGCTGACCATTATCTTTGAGAACTCTCTTCGAAATCTTCCCGCCGCCTTCCGGCTTCTCCGCAGATGCGGCTTCTCCCTTATGTCCATCGCCAATCGATTCTCCCGTTTCTCCTGCCTGCCTATTCTCTTTCTCGGCGCCGGATCGTTCAACGAATCGCCCATTGGATTCTTCGGCAGTCTTCTGGCTCGCGCTACGCGTCTTTTTCGAACGGCAGGCCGTCTTGACGTTCTTCTGCGTCGGATCTCTGTCTCCTCCATTGGGGATCACTTGCGAACCTCCAGTCTCCGTCGGTCTACTTCCTCTCGTCCGTTTACCTTCGTTATCGACCTTCCCTAATTCGGCAATTATCTCGGATCGCGCCAAGACCTTCGGTTCCTCCTGAGGCCTTTCTTTGGCAATGTAGTAGTCCGGTTTGCCCAGTAGTCCCCACTCTTCATCTTGGACTTTGATCGAGTAATTCGGAGTTTCGATAAAAGCAGTGCTTGCGTTGTTATTATTATCGGGAAAGTCGTGCGTCCAGCTGCTGAAGGAGCTTCCGGCTCTCCTGGGGCTGCTGATCTTGCTGCTGCTCTCGTCGACCAAGGGAAACGTGCGCCGGTGGCTGTCGTCCTTGATCAGACCTAATTCGATTGCACACACCGTCGACCATACGGAGCTTCCAGGCCAGGATTTTCGAGAATTCGATCTGTCGATCTGCAAACGACCAGTGCGCATTCTTTAGGGCATAGCGAATACATTATTTCCATCTGACGGGGGACGTGTCATTCGCTCTTCTGACATCGATAACATTCCCACCTCTCGCTCTCTGCACCACTCGACGCGTCAGCTGTCTTTGCTACGTACACTTATGCACCAAAACTTTTCACGTTAGCCAATCCATTTTCTGTCTCCTTGAAAGCTACATGAGGCTCAGGAAGAGGCGCCGATGGGTATCTGCCATTAAACTATTTACTTCCGTGTCTTGTGCTATCGATGATGCAATCGTTGCATAAATCTTCCGATTTTTAGTGGGAAAAGAGAATTTACGTGACTCGAGCGTATCTCGCTGTGTATCGCCCCTAGGCCCACAGACTCCCGAGGACTGCGATCACTCGAGAGGAAGGATACCCGAGATAGGGAATCGAGTCGGCAGTTGCGCATTCGCCGGAGACAACTTTCAGAATCAATTGAAACTTCTTGAGAGACAAGATGAATCTTCCGTGGTAAAACGGTGGGAGGATGGAGAGGGAAGGAAGACACAGGTTCGTCGGTAAGAGAAAACTTTTCAATTTATCATAAGTATATCTTTTCAAGGCCAACGTATTGGCCAAACCTTATTTTGCTCGAGCAGAATCCTCGAAGAATTTTATGCTCGAACGGAAACAATTCGAAATTTTGAAGTCGCCACCAAGAAAAGATGGTAGCCTTTTTTCCCTTTCCCGTGATCCAGCGCCGCGCAAGCGATGCGAGCCGATAGACTTGGATTTGGCCAATACGACCGATCGAGCTCATTCGGTCCCTGGCTAATTCATTGTCATCGCAGAAATACGATCGATTCGATATGCACGCTCAGCGTGAAACGTGGGAAGCTCCGGCAAACTCTGCGGGAGTAACGAATGGAAGTGCCCGAGCGAGTGACGGAGCCCGAACGGCTCGGTGCTGTCCGCGCAACCCTAGGTCTTTTACTTGCACTCTATTGATTTTTCAAAAAGTTCCCGTGGACCGTCCGTACAAGAAGAGTCGGTCGCGAAGGCTCGACGCTCAGGGACTCAGGAGCCAAGAGGACGAGGGGGTGCACCATTGATGAAATACGTAGGAAATGATGCTGTGCCTGCTGGTTCGGCGGTGGCGACGGAAGCGTCGTGTGTCGTCGCGAGACGACGTTCTCGTCATTCGACGTCCGACATCCGTCGTTTGTGGTCTGTAGCGGCCGTCGGCGCCTGATGACGCATGCGTGCCAGGCCACGTGCACGCGCGCACCAGAAAGCTGCAAATCCTCGGAAAATGACAGGCCGTCGCACCTTAAGGATCCGTCTTACGAAATAAAGGGTTTCGGACGACTAAAAGGGAAAAATTAAGACGATCCATCGAGGTTGCTCGAGCATCAGGGAGAAAGAGATCGAAACTGTCAGGTTCATGACTAGAGAGCACAGAAAATCCTCTATAAATTCTATGCGGGTCTGTAAACGATTTTTGTTTTCAAGTTTATAAGTTTCTTTTTCCCCCCCATTTCTACTCAATATTTTGAGGAGAACAATCAGTTCTTTTCTAGTAGATTAGTCCGGTGACGATTTACACGACTGAAGCTCGAGATAAGAGTCTTGGAAAATTTCTTTGACGTGATAGTAGCAGAGGTGTAGCCTGCGGTGGATACTGAAGAATTAAAAAAAAAAAGATCGCAAAATAAGCATCAAACGTTTTCAGTGTCGTATGCCTCGCATTAATTGCGGAATAAGAAGGAAAGGTTAATCGCACAGTCACATGGTCGATTGGACTTTTGCAGCCGCCGCTTGAGAATCCGGCAGAATCAAAGTTAATAGAGTATTCGGTCTCTTTTACGAACAGCAGTATTGTCTCCTGTTGCCTGATGTTCTTTTTCGATTAACGGAAACATCATTTGGCGCGTCTCCACAATAATATTATAGTGCCAAGTGAATGTATGTACATAAGTTACGTCCTTCGATTGTTAAGCAGTGCACCTCAGCTACGTACACGCATGCAACACGCCGGCAGATGAATGGGCGGAAAAGGAAAAAGCTAAAGAAAGAAATGCTCAAAATTCCGTGTGCTAATGGGGGCATGCGTATTAATGAAATGCACAGACAAGGAAGGAAGAGATTCCGAGCACGCAGAGGAGAGAGAGAGAGAGAGAGAGAGAGAGAGAGAGGACGGGTGGATGGATCCTGTAGGTAGAAGGAAGAACGCAGGCATGTGCGGGAAGAAGGGCTGGGTCGGGGCCGCCGAGGAGGAGGAGGAGGAGGAGGAGGAGGAGGAGGAGGTGGTCGCGACGCGGGCGGTGCGAGAGCGCGCGCGCCCGCGCACGCGGACCTGCCAG